CTCTCTTCTTCTTCTTCTTCTTCTTCTTCTTCTTTTGAGTTACTGTAAAACTTGTTGGTGGTTTTCAATGGGAAGGCTCGTTGTTTCAAAAAAAAATATGCCTCGTCTTAGGAATGGCTAATTAAACAGATAAAAAGACAACAATATGGTTAACATTTATGTTCCTTTTTCTTTCAAAATAGCAGTTATCATGCATTCATTAAAAAACAGTTGCCCCATTAACTAAGTAAACCAGGCAAAAACCAAATTGCCCAGTTGATCATGGAAAAAACCATCACAACCACTGAGCGGCACACACAAAATACCCCATGCACACCACTTCAAAGAGGGCCTTGTCGAGACAGTTTCTGCCTCCCGTCGGCGGTGCCGCCGAACAGGTGGATCCCTATTCTTGCCGGCGGGAGGGCTCATTTTTATATGTTTCCTTGAGTTCTGCTAGGGTTTGTGTTATGTTCAGGAGGGCGAGACGACGGCGGCTTCTTGAAGATGGAATAAGTTTCTTCCTGCCTAGCCACCATCTCAGTGGTGCGTCTAGCATCGTCGGAGGGCGTGTGAAGGTGTGTCTCTGATGGACCTCGCGGGATTTAGTTGGTGGTTGTTTGGTGGATCCGTTCGGATTCAGTCTTTGTTCTTCTACGTCAATGTGTCTTCGGGTTGAATCCTTCCGATCTACGCTTCTCTTCATCGGCGACGGTTGTTGTTCTGGTGTGCTCGTCCTATGAGGCCTTAGCACGACGACTTTCCAATTGTCTAATACAAAAGGTTTTGCCTGGCTCCGGCGAGGCAGAGGTGATGATGGCAGTATGCCTTCGACTCACTTCAGTGCTTGTAATCGTCGCTATGTCGTCTGTGGGTCTAGATATAATTATTTTTTTATTTTTTGTGTTCGTTCTACTGCCATGATGATGAATAGTTTGGAAGTTTTCTCCAAAAAATATTTTCAAGATAACCTTTTGTGCTTAATTAAAGATACGCATATGGTCAACAGACTGGGAATCTGCTGACGCAAGCATTGACGAACATCAAATAATTTGGTGCACCCCTTCAAATACGCTCACGTGATGGGCCTGTGAACACCCCTTCAAATAGTGTCTAATACAAAAAAAATGTCTAGCTTCGGTGAGGGAGGAGTAATATGACAGCACGCTTTTGACTCACTTCAGTGCTTGTAGTCATCGCTAGATCATCTACGAATCTAGATGTAATTTTTATTATTTATGGTGTTTGTTCTATAGCCATGATCGATGATGAATAGATTACAAGTTTTGCCGTGAAACAAAACCCAAGATAACCTCTGCTTAATTAAAGATAAATATATGGTCATCAGACTGGGAATCTACTGACGCAAGCACTGACGATCATCAAATAATTGTGTGCACCCCTTCAAATACGCTCACGTGATGGGTTATCTCTTTTCACACGGAGTGTCAAGCTTTGAACTTAGTGCAAATGTTTTGAGCTCACACACTATTCTAGATAGACAACCTCCATGGCTGCTTCTGCTACGCAACCTCATGGTGCTACCCTTCCCCGCGCAGGGCCATGTCATCCCGCTCATGGAGCTGTCTCGCAAGCTCGCCGGGCACGGCCTCGCGGTAGACTTCGTGAACACCGAGTTCAACCACGACCTCGTCATGGAAGCAATGGCAGAGAAGGGAGCAATTCCTGATGGGATCCACGTGCTCACCATTCCGGACGGCCTGGGCCCCGGAGACGACCACGCGGACATCGGCAAGTTTGTCAAGGACCTGCCGGCCGCCATGTCCGGCCGCCTCGAGGAGATGATCCGATCCAGGAAGATTAGGTGGGTGATTGCAGATGTATCCATGAGCTGGGCACTCGAGGTGGCCACCAAGGCGGGTGCCCGTGTTGCCTCGTTCTCGACCTACTCCGCGGCCGTGTTTGCTCTGAGGATGAACCTCCCCAAATTGATAGAGGATGGCGTTCTTGATGAAAGTGGTAAGAACAAATCAAACATTTTCATTCTTGGTATGGTTAAGATCGACTGAGAATATGGAGCATATTTAGGAAATGTGAAGGGGCAGGGGAAGATCCAAATGGTGCCGCCCATCGACGCGTCGGAGATCCCCTGGGTCAGCCTGGCCAGCACCAGCGCCCCTGAGAGGCGCAGAAACAACATCCAGAACGTCCTCAAGACCAACCTGTCGATGCCACTGGCCGAGGTGGTCATCTGCAACACTTCCATGGAGTTGGAGCCCGACGCTCTGGCTCTGTTCCCCAACGCGCTGCCTCTCGGCCCGCTGGTGGCACCCACGCCGAGGCCGGCCGGGCACTTCTTGCCCGAAGACCTCGCCAGCCTCACGTGGCTCGACGCGCAGCCCGCCGGCTCCGTCGTCTACGTGGCCTTCGGGAGCTCCGGCTTCCTGGACGCGACGCAGTTCCAAGAGCTCGCCGACGGGCTCGCGCTCTCCGGCCGGCCGTTCCTGTGGGTGGTCCGCCCAAAGTTCACGACCGGACCCGGGCAGGATCGGTTCGACCTCGACGCGTTCAAGCGCCGCGTGGAGGGGCAGGGGCTGGTCGTGGGCTGGGCGCCGCAGCAGCGCGTGCTCTCGCACCCGGCCGTGGCCTGCTTCGTGTCGCACCAGAGCTATGTGTGCAACGTGTGGGGCACCGGCGCCAAGCTCCGGCGAGACGAGCGAGGGGTCGTCCCGAAAGAGGAGGTCCAGAGCAAGGGCGCGCGGCTGCTCGGAGACGGGGAGGTCAAGGCGAGGGTGGCAACGTGGAAGGAGATCGCGTGTGGCAGCATCCGGGTGGGTGGGTCCTCGCATCGGAACTTGCTCAAGCTTGTCAGCTTGCTGAGACAACAATGATGGCACGGCCTACTTTGACAAAGGATCTCGCTGCCAGTGCGAGCGCGCGAGAGGCATTTTGACCGCGGCAGGCGGCACGCACGACGTCGGCCGGCCGGCCACCGCAAAAAATAAATAAAAGCATTCGGTTGACACTCGAGAAGTGCATCTACGAACCCAGATACATATGAATCTACTTCAGAAAAACATATATCTAAATGCCAAAAAATCCAAAAAAGGTTACATGGATACGTCTTCTCGCAAAAAAAAAGAACGTTTCATGAAAAAATAACTTTTTCTGTGCAAAAAAAGACAAAAAATTGTGTCGTAAAACACTATTTAGACGCACTGAAATTTGTCTTTTTTGCAGAGACAAAACGAGAAGACATTTTTTTCACAAAACTTATGCTGCGCACACACACTTGCGAACATGTATGTGTGGATTTTCCTTTTGAATTTTTTGACATTTTAAATCATGTTTAAAATGCATATTTTGACATCAAAATTCAATTTTTAATTCACAAATAAAGTCTTAATACATCATGTATATATAATTATAATACAAATAATAATTACTCCCTTCATTCCTTTATATAAGGTGTATAATTTATTAGCACACTGACCAAGGCACATAATTCTACACAGGATAGAACAAAATTAACCTTGGCTAAATCATTGATTAGTGGCAAGTAAATCATTTAGGCTAGGAAAGTAAGAGATACACACAATTAGGAAAGAGTCACTTTCCTTTTTTTTCTTTATATTTACAAGGAGAAATCCATGCATATATTTTTCTTTTTTTAAAGGGCTAGAAACGGAATTTTGAGGAATTGAAAGAAATGCATCTTACATTGTGGAATTTTGTAAAAAAAAACAAATACACCTTATATAAATGAATGGAGGGAGTATAAGATACATGCACTCAATCTTAAACAGCTACTTCCTCCAGTCCTTTTTACTCTGCATATTAGGTTTGTCCGAAGTCAATCTCATCCAACTTTGACCAAGTTTATATAAAAAATTATAGACATTCACATAACAACACCAATATCATTAGATTCATCTTGGAATATATTTTCATATTATATTTATTAGATATTATAGATGCTAATAATTTCTAATATAAATTTGGTCAAACTTAGCAAAGTTTGACTTTTGGCAAATTCAATGTGCAGAGTAAAAAGGACCGGAGGGAGTATTGAATAAATATAGTGCAGAGGGGGGGGGGGCAATGCCCCCTGCCTATCCATTTATTAGTGTTGATGTTAGGTTCTAAAATTATATTTATATAATTTATTTGCCCCTTATTTAAGATGGACCATGGCCTGTCAAGAGGAGCCCGCGGCACCATTTGTCGCTGGATGGCGGCAGCTTGATCACTCTCTTCCTCGAGCCAAGCATCCACATCGCGAGGGTGACGCTGCACGCCTGGACGGCGCAAGAGATCAGGGCCACGAAGCAGGAAAGGTACATCATGTTGTAGTCGTCCATGCCAGCGACGCACAAGACCGGCAGAACGTAGGTTGACCGCCGCGGCAGGTGCGTGATCCCGACCCTGCATACCACGAGGCCTCCGAAGAAGGCCACCAGCCAAATCACCTGGCTGCCCACTGCAAGAAAGCTCCTTGAGATCAAACAAATTCCAGTGATTAGGAGATCAAACAACTCATCATATATTGCATTTGATAATAATTGAACATATGCAGTTCAAACAAAAGTAAAATTGGAAGAGGAACGACAACCGGTCAAAAAGGGACTAATCATCTTACGTAGGCATGTTTGGTTCATCAGATGTAATGTAAACATAAATTTCATGGAGTAACACTGTTATTGTAAAAAGAGAAGTTCATATTACAACCTCGAACTATCACCCAAATCTAATAAACAACCCTAAACGATGGAATCATCTATCTTACAACTCTGAACTATCGAAACCAAACAAGAAACAACTCTGAACTGATTTTTTAATGGTTTTTGACTAGTCAACGGTCCGGTGGCAACTATCGCATTCTGCAGGTTCTTTTTTCTACAACGGGGGCAGATCAAACATAGAGACCGCAATAGTTGGTTGTCTAGGTAATCATTGAACTATCAATAATACACACCTATGAACAGTTACATGGAGTTTTACATAACTTTCCTTCACGCATGCCCCCCCCCCCTCTTGAATTTAAGTGGGGGTGGGCCCCTCCTTTCCCCTACTTCCAATTACAGATTGCCAAGTAGCTAATTACGTAAAACTGAACATAACTCTATGTATGTGTAGCATTGCTTCGAAAGACTGAGTTGGCATATTATCCTGAAATTTATGAAGTCATCGTAGGCACCTCATCATCGACGGGAAAGTTTCCTCCCACTAAATGCGCACCGCCGGAAATCCTGAAATAAATCCAGGAATAAATGCGAGCACCAGGACTTGAACCCTGGTGGGCTGGGATACCACAGTCCCTCTAACCATCCAACCATAGATTGGTTCGCTCCAGTGGAGTTGGATTGAAAGGCTAAAATCCATTTCTTGTTTGTCTCAGGCTCATGCCAGTTCATTGTTTTTAGGGGTACTTGTGTCAGTTCATATGTGAGCTATATCAGCCCAGCCCTAGAAGAAAATTGGGCCCAAAGGCATGCTTTTGAAACATTTTAGAGTTTTTTTCAAACAAAAAAACAGGATTTTCCCTATTTGGCACTTAAGGCGCCGGTCACTACTGTTCATTACTAGTGTTGGGAGCTGCTAAGTATCGCTCGCAGTGTCAGTCGTGTCGCTGATGCCGCCTGCGCTACATGGTCCTAGCCCAGCCAGCACAGTCAGAGCTAGGGACAAAAGCTCATGCCTATTTTATTTTTTGGGTTTTTATTACGTTTTTATTTTTGTCTGTTTAATTTCAAGTTGAAAAAATACACAAATCAAAAAATGTTCATGAGCTTGAAAAAATGTTTAAAAAATTATAAAGTGTTCATGAATTTAAAAAATGTTCACGCATCCAAGAAATGCTCACAAATTTGAAAAGGTTCACAAATATAAAAAAATGTTCAACAAATCAAAGCAATGTTCGTGAATTTGAAAAGTGTTCATGAATTTCAGAAAAAATCTTGAATTTCCAAGATTTCACGAATTTATAAAATATTCATGGATTTGAAAATCATTACAAGTTTATAAAATTTTCATTAATTTTAAAATAAAATGAAAAAACTAACGAAAAAAGAATGAAAAACCAAGAGAAAACCAGAAAACTAGTAGATAACAAGGAATGAACAGAAAAAAAAACTATGGTAGGTTCCAACCATGGCCCCCACCCGTTTCCATGGGTGTTTGCGGAAACCAGTAACGGGTCGGCCCACGAGAAGCATACAACGGGCGAGCGTTATGGTTAGCGGTTTCTGTAAGCAATCTAAGCATTTGCGACTGGTGTTTCCTAACAAGCACCCACATTGGGAGGGTCGGGCTATTAGATGGGCCCGCCCATGTAGGCTTTTCTTTTGCACCGGTTTTAGGAAGCTTCAAAATGACAAGCGATAGGTGTAAGAGATCCATCCATTGGTATCCATTGTTCGTCCCATGCACCTCTCCCATTGCCGCTTCCATAGCTTTTGGATGCACCGCCCGCTAAAGAAAATTCTTTCATTGATAGTAAGACCGTGTCATAAGAAAAACAAAAGTTGGAAGAGCACTTTATCCCGATGGACATTGAGGTTATTTAGAAAATCCCACTCCCCATATGAAGGCAACATGACTTCTGGGCGTGGTACTTTGACAAACGTGATATTTTCTCAGTACAATTAGCCTACCACATCACACAGGAGAAAAGGCAGGCTTGTCTACAAGGCTGGGTGACGAGCTTTGGCATGAAACAAGTGGAGAAAAACTCGTGCTTGCACTAGAAGATATTGGTCCCTTCAGAAGTTCATGTGTTCTTGTGGTGTCTAGCTACACACTCACTCCCAACTATTGGTGTGCTAGCGCACAGGAACGTGCACCGGAGAATAAGGGAAAAAATATGCGGACATTCTCACTATTAAAGGTATTTGTTCTTATAGTGCACTATGTCAAAGTGTGTATGGGAGCTCTTCGATGATAAAGTTATGGTGTTACCGTACTCCACGCAGGAACCGCACGCTCGGGATTGGCTATTTGCTCTATTTGACCATTTGTAACATGATGAACTCATTAGAGTTCTAGTCCTTCTTTTGAGCAATATGGCACCATCGAAGGAAGGTGATGCATGAGGACATTATCCATAGTCCATTGTCAGTGAATAGCTTCGCTGATCGCTTCCTTGTTGATTGGGAGATGACTGTGGCTTATAAGGCTCCTAACTACCCACAGCGGGCGACGATGACACATCCTCGATGGATAGCGACCTATGTGGTTTCTTAAGATTAACGGAGATGTTGGAGTTGCGAAGAATAGTAGCACATGTAATGTTGTAGTGGTCACACGAGATATCAATGGTGAATACTTGGGCATGTCTGCTCTCCTTTTTGCAAGGCTAGATACCTCGGAGACCCTCGAAGCTCTCTCCTTCCAAAAACATGGCAAACATTTTCAACACATATATTCAACTTTTTTTGTAAAATATGATCATTTTCTTTAAATGTGATGACATTTTCAAGTGTTATGAACAATTTTATTATGACTATTCTTTTGAATAGTATGAAACATTTTTCAAAATTACGTGGACAAATTTTAGATTGTTTAAACATTGTTTAAAATGCCATGGACATATTTTTGATCGCGTGAACAATATCATGAACAATTTTTTACTTTGCCCGCTGGTGAAGGACTCCCTAGTTTGGTGATCTCTTGGGCTGTAATTTTCACGGGCATGGGTCTTTGGCTGCATCATACATATTCATGAGCCTACCCGTAGGTATTTCTTCGTCAAATGGTACAACCTTTTTTTACAAATTACCTGAACAAATTTTAAAATTTCATGAACATTTAAAAAAATCTCATTAACATATTCTTAAATGTGTGAACATTTTTCTTCAATTGAATGAACAATTTTCAAATTTGCAAGAACAAG